AAGTATTTTGCACATCTCACTTTGGATGCTCTCGGTGAAAGTGAGACTCCTTTTTGATCAATGATCTGATGCCTGAGTTTCTGCGCAGCCGTGTTTGACTATGAGTTCGGAGCACTCGGGTCCAGAAACAATCAGCTAGCATACATGGTGCGAAACCTGTTGTAAGTGCTCTTTAACAATCTATCGCTGGACTACAGAACTTAGATCTTATTGAACAGTGTTGATTCCGTTCGTCCGACAAAGGCTCGATTCCTATGGAATCGCATACGCAGCCATTTCCTTCCGAAAGCGATAGAGAAGGTTGTTTCTGCACTATACGTTACCAAGGAAGATGCTCGTTGGAAGGCATGGTTGGAGGCATCGCAAAGCGAGGCAAGGGAGTTGTATAAGAACAAGTTGCAAGGCCAGACGTCGGAAGAAAATGATATCCTTGGCGTCATTTGTGAGTAACTCTACTCATTTCGAGGTTTCCATTGCTTATGGATCCCCATAGCTAGATCATTGGAATCGCAAGATCCGGAGAAGAGGATGGACGCCCAGGAGGCGTTATCACAGATGGCGTAGGCTCCTCTAAACACGCTCATGGACGTGAACACTGAAAGTCGCCACCTATAGCACCATAATTCTAGCAGGCCACGAAACCTCTGGAAATACGTGCGTATACCGCTCAGCGCAATGTTTCTAGCAAGCTCACCTATCCCAGCCTTACCTGGCTCTTCTATGAACTATCCCGGAACCCCGACCATCAACGCCGTCTATTCCACGAAGTTCAAGAAGCTAGAGAGCGCAAGGGCGAATTGGCAGCCGGCGATTACGATGCAATGCCCTTCCTCAACGCTGTGATAAAGGTATAGACCTGTCCGCCAGTTGTATACGCACTGCTGACCTCATGGTATATCGGAACCCAGGAAACTCTTCGTTTACACCCGATCATACTTCGAATCATCCGTGAAGTCGAGGATGATGATGTTCTACCTCTTGCTCAGCCAGTCATGTCCACATCTGGCGAGATCCTGTCGGAAATTCCCATCACAAAAGGTCAAAGGGTTATTGTCTCCATCATTGGATACAACTAGTGAGGCAAATGCCGTTTACATTTAACTAGATTACTCACTGTACTGGGCAGCTCGAAGGCGGTATGGGGAGCGGACGCCGAGGAATGGAACCCCGCCCGCCACTTGGATGCAAAGAGGACGACAACTTTGGGGGTTTTTGGGAACTTGTGAGCACTAGAATCAACACCTTTTTTCGTCATTTCTGACGGTACTTGCACTCTACTACAGGATGACCTTTAGTGAGTCAACACGAAGCCGCATCACTCGAATCCTAACTGACAACGTAATAGGTGCTGGCGTGAGAAGTTGCATTGGGTACGTGTCTACGACTTGAAGCTATAACCGTTCACTCATTCATGATTGCGATAGCTGGCGGTTTGCGTCAGTTCTATTCCAAACAATCATCCAGTGATATAAGCTAACGCAATTTCAGGGTGCACGAAATGCAAACGGTCACCGCGATGTTGGTTGAATCTTTCGAGTTCTCCATCGATCCCGCATTGGATATCATGATGGTCGATGCAGGATTCGTAGCGCCTGCGGTGAGAGACAAGCTCAAGGAGGGCTTTCAACTACCTTTAACAGTTAAGATACGAGAGTACAATTCGATGTAGTAATCTGTACTACATAAATCGTGGATCGAATTCCACCGACATTCCAACACTAAATGGATATTTAATGTCCTGCTTTGAAACCTTCAGCAGATTTCGCTCGCTACAAAGCGGCAGTGTCTCCTGTAGTAGGCCAGCCCCATTGCCCTGTGACGCCATCATCGCCGAACGAGTGCTTCGAGGAGTCGGCGTCTTGTTCCCATCTTCTGAACACGAAAGCCCACAAAGGTAAGAAAACTCCAGGCTCATAAACTCTACCCTGATTTCCTTCAACGAGCGAAACAACAAATGAGTCGTCCAAACGCAATCCAGGTTGTCCCATGCTTTTTGTCCCACAACCTGTTCACCGTCTGTCAATACAATCTTTGTAACCTTCGGCTTCCAAGGTATAGGGCTAACGCCAGGATCCTGATTGTACGTCCATCGGAAAAACTCGTTCACCAAAGAAACCGTGCCTTCTACTACAATCTCGGGAACCCGTGTAGTACAAACAACCCTTTGTGGTTCAAGTTGATTGCGGTCAAAATGGAGCGAATGCCGACGCCGGTGCCGCGCCCGCATCGATAATTTGAGTATGCAGCATTGGAGTGAACCACTTCTCACGGCTGCACTCTCGGTTAGAAAGGATTGAAGGTCGCTCGATTCACTCCAATTGAAGGTGACGCAAAGCTCCTGCAATGTTGCACACGAGGAAAAGTATGAAAAGGACAGCGAGCGAGCTCTCTGACCCGAGAGGTCGAGTTGTCTGAGTTTGCTGGGAATCCAGCGGTCCGAAGCGTCCACTCCAAACGTGACATCCCCCAATATCAACCTTTCGATATTCCGAAGAGGTGCGAGGTCGTGAAAGTCTGCCTCCGCGCTCAAGTGAGCCCCTGTCACCGTCAATACTCTGACGTTACAGAACTCGGGAACCCGAGCGAGATGGGTGAAGAACAGCGACCATGCATGGAAACCCGGTAGGCCTTGTAGCTGATTTAGCTGTAATTGATCTAAATTCCAAAACAGGCGGCTCGCCATCGTAGTGTCGGTGACTCCTCCGGGCCCGACTGAAAGGAGCCATAAAAAGAAGTGGTTTAATCCCCAACACTCCTCGTCTACTACCCCGCCTATCCCAAAAACCTGAATCCCTGCGGTGTGAAGGGTAGAATGAGGGTGCGAGCATAGTTCCATGAACTGATTCAAGGCAAGTATGACGGAAATAGGTTTCCGACCCAGGATAACATTTCGAAAGAGATATGGCCGAGCAGTGAGGCACCACGAATGGGAAACCAATGAACATCTCTGCATCGCGGACATGTCATCTTTTATGTTGTCGATGATGTATTGCATGATCTCAGGTGGTAGATATCCGGCAGGCATGGTACCTTCGGGCTGGAAGACGAAGAATGAGATATTGCGAGAAAGAGAGAAAACGAGGCTCACAGTAGTGTTCGCAATCATAGCTGCTATCGATACGTCGTGGTGGTAGATAGCAGGGTGCAAAAGACACAGCCGGTTACTAGGCTGGTTTTCTCACATATCCCGCACATGACAAGCCTCGTGTGGAATTAGCGTGGACAACGATAAGCGCCCGCAACGAAATCGAGCAGTGTGAATGCCGACAGGTACTGTTCAACGACGAACGTTTCACCCAACTCTCCACTACTAGCAAGTCAAGGTCGAATGTCTCTTCCATCCTCTTGCCACCACGAAACGTTGCTAACACCGGGATGGTATAAGATAGATGCAAGCGGAACTCTCGCCGCAGTACACCCGATGTCGAAGCTTATCACAAGAAGTTCGAGGAGGTCGACATTGTGCACCAGCGGTGCTCAATATAGAGGTCAAACGTTCAACGTTGCATTGTGACCAGTCCTAATACGCGGAACTCTGTCCTATACCACAGCCGGGCTGACAAAACCTCCGCAGTAGCAGCAGAGTGGAAGCATGAGAGGATGATTGCCGATGCGCGTTCTAGCAGAGGCTCTTTCAGCTCTGCTGGATCAACTTGAACAAAGGTAATCCTCATACCTTCGAGGCGTTTTTGACGTTCGAATGACCAAGTCACAGAGGCTCAGGTGTGAGCGTACTCCTGGTACCAGTTATCGAGAATCTGCATTGGAGAGAGATCAACGGCAGTGATGATAGGGACATGCCCAATCCTGTGCGACCCGACCATCGAATCTCTGCATCCCTCTCTCATCCAACCCTAAGCACGACTGCCGATACCAAGCCGACCATCCATCCCAGCAAATTTCCGTGGCGGTCACTTTGAAACACAAGATAATGAAGATGTAGGAGGTTCCAGTGGTCGTGGCGTGAGCACTATCCCAGGCTCACAGAACTTCCGTGGTAGAGGTAGAGAATTGAGATAGATTGGGAGCATGTATAATTATGGGAGGTAATTTATTCCGAATTAGGGTAGTAGTCGCAGTGCTGGTCTTGTGTCAATTTTGGGTCCTCAAAAGGTTTGGTCCATGGTATAGATAACGCCAGCTCACAACAAGCCATTTTTGAGACGCATGTGCGCTATTGAGGATCTGTCATGTTGCAGAGGTAAGGACGAGGTCATGGTTGGACCAACCTTGCAGTTTCGGTGATTCCAGACGGAAACCTTGAGCTCGCTGTATCAGGAAGCTTGATGTAATGTTTCGCCGTCATTGAAGGCTTGGCCGTTTCTTGTATTCGCACAAATGAAGAAGCGTCGGGAAGAGTAGGGCAGCAGGGTTACATAGCCTTGAGAGTAGCAACATATTAGCTCGAATAGAAAAAGATGTAAACGGACCACGCACGGCGTCGGCTATTCTTTGACTTCGTGTTGTACACCATCGTTTTGGATTTTTGACTGATTTCAGCCTGGAGAAGAGAAGCGCCTGGGTGCCGGAGCTACGGGATGCTAAAGTGTCGTGCCAGTACAAGCTTTCAAGTTCAAGTTATCGTGACTCGATGTTGACGACTGGTTTTTGCGTGAATTTTCGATCCTCGAATGGTCGACAAGCCTTCCTCTCTCCCTCGCTCTCTCTCTCGTTTGCTCCCTAATCTATCTACCTTTCCGACCCAACTCGATCTCCATTCCGACAACTATAACTATCCAGCTCGATTGAGGGAATTTCAAAACGATACGAATCGCGGAAATGGTGAAAGCACTACTAGGTATCTCTCGTGTTGTATAGCACCTATGTTGGTCATTAGTATCCTTATGGGCTGGAAAAAGACTTGAGAACTCACTACTGGGAGTATACGCTAGCAACGTTGAATATTGAATGTGCGAGAGGAGCTCAGAGCTGTTGTGGGGCGCTTAGGCCTTACGATAACGGGTACCGCTGTACCTATGCATCTCACTTGCATCTCCCATGGCCGCCTAGCTCAGTTGGTTAGAGCGTCGTGCTAATATGCGGATCTCACCTCTCCTAACATATCACGCGAAGGTCTTGGGTTCGATCCCCACGTTGGCCACTGAGGGCAAGAAATCGTTCTATTTTTTCTTTCTAATTTGCTACATACATACCTGTACAACTCGTCGAGACCCAAATAAAAACCAACACGTAAAATAACCAAGCAACCACACAGTACGTATCGATAACCACCGAGTCGTCAACGCAACCCGTAGCGTCCGCAAGGTACCCTACTCTCAATTTAGGCATTCCGAAATCCGGACCAAACCTATTTTGGGTAAAATGATTACGTAAACATTAAACAGCAGCTTGGGCCAGACTCCGGAACAAACAGTCGAAATGGAGTATTTTCGGCGCTCGGACAAGGGGGTTGGAATTTGGAGCGATGAGACGGGGGGATCAGGGAACGTCATGGTTGAATCATTCGTTGCGTCTGCCGTTCCTTTGAGCGGGAAGCCATGTCAATGTTTTTTTTGGTTCTGGAACGATAAAATATAGAAGTGGAAGCCTGGAAGCCTCGTCTAAAACAAAAATAATTTCGGCTATACATGCATCGTGCACGCTTGAACAGGCACCCGAAGCCATGCCGAGTACCCCAAAATTATTCCGTTCCGGGGGTGAAATGAATTGTGTGTTATGGAGATACCTAAATAGGCAATGTTTCAGTATGAGTCGCTTATATTTTTTTTGGGGTTCCGGGGTCGTGGACCTGTGTGTGATTTTTTTTCTGTGTATTCGTATTTCCACATTCCATTTTTTATCTTCTTCCATTACCACTACTAGTACTCGTCGTTTTTTGCTTGCTTGCTCGCTGGTTCGTTTGCTCGCCTCTACTCCTACTCTACTACTTTACTCTCTCGCCACATCCCGACGCCGACGCCGACGCATTATCACCGATACCGACACCGACTAAAGCCTAAAGCCATGGAGCCGACACCTTCACCTACATCAGAAGAACTCTCACCTATCCCAAGTCTAACCTCCTTATCTACCGCTTCTTCTTCTTCATCTACCACTTCACCAAGCGAGAAACTCCTCAGAGAGACACTAGCTAGAGACGCTAGAGTATGTCGGAGAAGAAGTATAGACTCCGGGTCTGGGTACGGGTCTGGTAAAGCTATACAGACCGAAGCACACGGTGGACACAGAAGAAGACGGAGTAGTACATCATCATTCTTAGGGTTTAGCTGGCTCTGGGGCGACACCGACCAACAGGCGCAGGAGGAGTACGAGGATCGGGGGTGGTACGAAGATGTGTTTCAGGTACCTAAACCTTTCTTCTCTTCGAGAGGTTTGAGGCTAATTGAGAAAAACACGAAACAGACACCAACCAAGCCTCCTCGAGAGCGCTCGCATACCTCTCCTCTTCCACAGACCCCCACACCAACAGCCTCGCCACGGCTTGGACCGAGACATTCTAATTCGTATCCCTCGCCGTTGTTGCTCAAGACGAGTACTACACCATCTTCGACTCCAAGGAGAAAGTTTACCCTTGGACTAGAAACTGTGCCTAGTATCTCGGATTTACGAGCGGCGTCGTCTTCGTTCGCCCCGTCTTCTGCCACAAACTCGAACTCCTTACCAGCAGAGGAAGAAGACGAAGGTATGCTAACTCCACCACCTACACCTCCCACACACTCGCACATACCGCGTCTCCAGGCGTTAGGCCTCGGTCAAGCGCCTATCAAACGCCGACACACCACCTCCACCAAATCCAGAGACGGGATACGACCCAGGGCAGTGACGGGTAGTCTACCTGGAACACCTCTTCGTGCCAAATACGCCGAGTTGCCTTCTCTCGGGCCTTCGGTGTCGAGGATACCCGTGCCTATCTCTCGTCCACATACACCTACCTCAACTCCACAGCATACACATAGACGCGCGTTATCTGTGCAGGTACCTGGTATACGCCGAACGAGTCAAACGACCCCGTCGACACCTCAACGAGGCGTATTCCCATTACCGTTACCGTTACCTACACCGCCTTCACCGGGTGATACAGCGCCTGTTCATCACACGCGTGTTCATCGGTATCCAGAGCTGACACAGAGGCCGAATACACCTAATAGTGCGTCAAAATTCAACGCACGCGTTGCGTCTGAGACGTGTAGAAGGATAGAAGGGATGGTATCGTTTGCGAATGTCGAAGGCCTAGGTGAGCCTTCGCCGGGTCCGGAAGGGGAGTCTGGGTTATCTGAGGCGGAGAGCAAGGCTAAGGGGAGGCGGTGGCTTGGTTTGGGACTTTTTTGAGTTCGGCTTGGTTCTTTGGTTTGGGACTGGTTTCTCTCTCTCGTTTTTTGGTTTCGTGTTTCGGCTTTTGTGTTTTGGTTTGACTTGATCTTGCAAAGGAAAGGAAACATTGTATATCTACGGTTACTGCTTACTCTACTTTGGCTCGGTGCTCGGTGCTCGTAATTCCGTGTAGTTAGAATCCTGGGACGGTATTACTTTACTCTACCTAGTGACTGTTGTTTGTCTGTCTGTCTGTTTTTTTATGTGTAAATTATCTGTCCGACTCGGCGTTTGGAAATGGAAGATTTTTCGTTTTCTATCGCAAAAAGACACCGATCGCAACTAGAAGTGGCCAACGTGGGGATCGAACCCAAGACCTTCGCGTTAATATAGCGACTACGTTATAGGGCATATTAGCACGACGCTCTAACCAACTGAGCTAGTCGGCCAGTGGAAGGTAAGTATCAAAGTGTTATATCTGAAGCGCCCGAGAACCCTTACCGACGACTCTTAAGCGCCCACTCTCAAGTAACCCCAATTCCAACTAGACCACACTAGTAATCCACCGTAGTTCAATCCGCGAATTAATCTCTACGTACGACGTGAGTCATCTTTCAGGGTTTGAGCGGTGGCGTTGTACTAATTTAGCCTAGAAGACCAGAACGGACCTCGACTGACTGCCAACGGAAAATGAATCCGCCCATGTGAGGCAAGTTCTCAATTCTTGTGCTTTTCTGGTCCATATTGACAAGTAACGCCAACACAGAGTACTTGGCGAATGACCGTTCCCCCATTGCCTAACTCAAGCCCCAATTCCGGATTCTCATCTCAAAATGTCGACGTCGCCATGAACCGAACGCCCTATATTGTCCACACCAAAACGGTCACCACGAATCTGGGTTGGATGGATAGAAGTCTCGTGGTTTGAAATTTGAAAAGAGGAGCGAGGATTAGGAAGAGGAGTGAAGCTGCGTTTCACAGACCAAGGATCGAAAAAACCAAGCAAAATCAGTTTTCAGTCTCTCAATGGCACCAGATCGCACTCAGTCGGACTACCAATTCAAACCAAGGCGGTTCATCCCAGTCAGAGATCTGGTCTCTTCAAGGTAGGAGACCCACTCACTTCTTGATGCAACAAAGCTGAAAACGCCCCTGCTAGAATAGCTTATATCCACCGTCGTCCTCGTGAAAATCTTGAAATCCACAGTCCGAGTCCCTTCCTTGGAAGATACACCATCTCCCAACTCCCGACTACCTTCCTCAAGATTCGGTGGTTCATTCACATCTTGACTCCTCGCCTGGGCGCCCAACGTCACAACATGGACCTACCAATACGTTTTGACGGCAAACTCTCGTCTTTTCCTTCATTTCACCAGTAGTCTCCCCTAGGCAGACATCGGCGCTTGATAAGAGAATACACACGTACGATTACTCCGCATGATGCACAGTCAGTGCAGATTCTGCAGCTTCCTGTGACTGCCGTTGTTACCAACCAAGCATCGCATTCACGCATGGATGAAGGACGTACATCGATTGGGATTCGGTGGAGAAGCACGCGGACTAACAAGGAAGAGAGGATAGAGAGGCAGAGATTTGTGTTCAACTGGTGAATTAGGCTTCGGTTTGACTGGGCTCGTTCGCGACACTAATACTGCTGTTACTCCCGATAGTACCTTTCAAGCTGGGGCAGCAAGATTTTAACGTTTAACGGCAACCCGGTGCGTTTGACAGCCAACTCCGCCCATGGTTCTTACTGACGAGCCGGTATTCTAGTCAGTATCATCTTGCTTTTACTGTACAATCGAGCTCGGGCCCGCTTGACGGTCGGTGGAAACTTTGACGTCAGAACTTGTATGTAAAGGTGAAAGTCTTGATGGTTCTCGAAATGTCATAATCGCCTTACCTCGAATTCGTCTTATATATAGGCTAAGGCTTAGGCTTATTCCGACGCACACTACAACTACCTCCGCCATGGCTCGTACTACCATTACCTCTACTCGTCATCAACACGACTCTCCCAAGAAGAACAGGCTCATAGGAGCCATCCAAGCCGGCCAAACTGTCCTTGCTGCATCCACAATGGTCGGAATACCATACAGCACAGCCAAAAAGATCTGGGACAAGTTTCAAAAGACTGGTTCGACGCATAATAGGCCACGTAGTGGACGTCCGCCAAAGTTGACTGAGAGGTCAAAGCGGCTTCTTATTAGGGCTGCAAAGGCGAATCCTCGTTTGAGTATGGAGGAGTTGGGGAGGATGGTGGATCCGCCGGTGTCTGCGACTACGGTTCGAGGGGTGCTGGATCAGGCTGATTTGGGTCGTAGGAGGAGAAGGGTGATTAGTCGGAGAAGGCCTCGGGGCGTCAGGAGTTTGAAAGGGAGGAGGCGTGTAGGCGTTGTGAAAAGAGCTGAGAGTACGTGCTTGGTTCATTGATTCTTATAATTAAAGGAAGACACTGATGCTATCCCAGACTGAACTTGTTGGGTATCAAATGTGAAGTGTCAGGGTTATTGTATATCTAGTGGTATTCTATGCTCGGTTGATGATACCATTTTTCAAAGGAAACATTGCACATCTACTTACTCTACCCTGGCTCGGTGCTCGTAATTCCTTGTAGTTCTTATTGTATAAATGATATTAGCACGCCTGAGTCTCAGTTAGTCGGCCAGTTGATACTTGTGACAGTGTGAAATACATGAAGCGCTCAAGAGTGAACGATTCCTAAGCCCCTCCCGACTCTTATACACGCGCCCATAGCTCGACCTGCAAATGAATCTCTCCATACAATGTGAGTCATCTTTCACATTTCAGTGTTCGAGTAACGTACGGGCGTTGTGCTAATTTAGCCCAGAAGAATAGCATTCAGAATCACTTGCTCGGCACTTGCCTCGACTGACTGGAAATGAAACTACTACCCGTACGAGGCAATTTTCTCTATTTGGGTTGTACATGTGCTACCTCACCGCTGAAGTGCAATGATAGGACTCGAGATACCCAACCAATGTTGGCGGCTGTGTTTTTGCTATTCAATCCCAGCCCGTAGCCCGCCAATCTGAATCTCCTTGCACCGTTCGTCGATACCTCAGACACTTATCCAACTCGAAGCCTCGAACAAAGCTGGAATCTGGCTACAAGCACCTTGGGTCGGAAGGGTCGACGATGCGCGGTTTTTTGTCGTCATGGTTGGGGAGCAGAGGACAGAGACGGGATAGAGGAAGGCGTGTAGTTGCCATTGGCCAGATCCTGGAAACCGGGAATGACGAAAAGAACGAGAAGAGCGTCTACATACTCTCGAAACCATTCAATCGTTGCCGCGTTAATGACACTCGAACGCGCACAGACCTATCTGTGGGAACGCCAGCCTAGTGACTGGCTGTGTCATTTACATCCCGCTATCCACCACCTCCACCACCATGTACGGCGTATCAAGATCAGTTATGAGCACGAATAGTACTGTGAGTCTCTTTCTTCTCCTTGTCTACCTAACTCATCCTTCATGTTCCAGCTCGAGAGTACCACACCTTCCAGACATCTCCCACTTGAGCTCGTAGAGCAGATTATCGACAGTATAAAGGATGATATGTCCTCCATGCAGACTAGCTCCTTGGTTTCTCGATCATGGTGTCTCACTGCTCGACCACATCTCTTTCGACAAGTTTTCCTCTATCAAAAGCCCGATTCCACTGCACTCTCCTTGAATCGATTCATAGATTTATGTTCACATCCTCATTCTACCCTTCACGCCGCAGGGATCCAGGTGTTCGGTATAGGTGGAGTCCAACAAGAAGAGTGTTGGGCACTACGCAGCTTCTTTTTGTGGCTCCTCTCAGTTCAAGGGCCCAAAAAGAAAAAGACTACGATGGCAAGCCGGTTGTTCTGGAACCTATCACATCTAGAGCTAAACCAAATGCACAATCGCGGCTCACCGAATCTCCATATACGTCTGGCATGGTCGGTATTCTTCACCTACCTCGCTCAGATACCCGAATTCTGTAATGTCAAAACGTTAACGGTGACAGAAACGACTTTGAACGCGGTATCGGACCTTTCCCAAATCTCTCCTCTCGTACGACTTGAGAAGTTGGTGCTAGGGGATGTTTGGTTCCGGGGTGGGAAGGATGAGGGTCTGGTTGCGAACCGTTGGGTTCCCAGCACTTTGAAACAGCTTGATGTCTCCGGCCAGAAGGGCGTTCATCGTTCGCAGGTCTTTGCATACTTTGCGACTTGTTTAGTGTTGGAGGAGCTCTATTCTTTCTTCCCTTTAAGGGAGTCAACGGTAGTCCTCCAGTCTTTCCTAGCCAAACGTGCAACGGTTACCAGCCATCCACTCCGACGCTGCACATTCCAATTACCGGCTCCCCGGAGTCATCTGGATCTCTGGGAGGAGGGACATCTCTCGGAGTTGTTTCAGAGTTACCAATCACATTTCAACGCCTGGAAGGATTTCGTTTGTACCGCACGAATTCGGGAGATTGTGATACAAGGCACAATTTCATCGGCGGATGACTTCTTTCGGTGGATATACCCGTTGAATTCGGATGATGAACCTTGCCGTGGTTCGAGGGTTACGAAGATTGTGGTGACGGAAGGGGAATGGATTGTAGCCAACCCGAGACTTTCATGGGACAAGTTGGATCGGGTTTGGGCGACTCATTCGTTGTTTCGAGCTTTGAAGGAAATTCAGGTGGTGTTTACGAGCTTGGAGCCATCGTATATCGGATTACTTCTAGCCTCAGCAGATGGTACCACGATGTCGACTCCCGAAAATCTTCATTCGGCAATGATGGCATGCCGTGGTGATGGGTTTGGCCTACTACAACAGGCCTTCCCGCTTTGTAGCGAGCGAAACCTATTCAAGATCGCAGAGTGCGGCATTAGGTAGAATGGCATATTTATGTGCGTACTTGTAGATTCTCAATGGCTTTACATGCAGAATTGTAACATATCTACTCTCGAGCCTTGACTATCAAGGGCATCTTGACGCCCTCGTCAAGCTTGCCTCTTACCATAGGTGCTATGGGACCCGGCGAGTCCATCATTATGATATCTAAGTCAGGATCCATAGAGAACTCAAAGGCTTCAACGAGCATCGTAGTCACTGTTTGCAGTTCATGTACCCTTAATTTACGGTGTGAGTATTTGCTTTGTTTTTGGGTGTAGCAAGTAGATTGTACTCACGCGAATCGCCAGCTGAAAGTGAATCAAGCGCTGAGCAGTCGAAGAGTTGACCAATTAACGATGAAATGCTCACCCGATGCAGCCTCTGACTCCAGCGCCTGAGGGTTCGTGATATATTAGTATTCATGGCATGAACGCGGCAGCTCGTTGACGTACTAAAGGTCATTCTGTGCATTGTCAGCGCGGTTAGAAATAAACTATGAAGCGGCACTTACACGTTGCCAAAAACACCCAACGTTGTCGTTCGCTTTGCATCCAAATGCCGCTCAGG